TTCCACTATGGCGTACCAGGTGGTGTAAGCTGTGAGACAATCCCACATTCTTTTAGGAGTTCATCAAACTCTATGCTTAAGTATTCTCCACCTAGATCTGATCGGAGTGCCTTAATACTCTTTCCTAGTTGATTTTGTATTTCATTTTTAAATTCCTTAAACTTTTCAAGGGCTTCAGATTTATGGCGCATAAGATAAATATAACCAAACCGACTAAAGTCATCGGTAAAAGTAATGAAGTAATGGAATCCACCTCTGGCTTGTGTATTCATTGGTCCACATACATCACTATGTATTAACCCCAATAAATAACTTGCTCGCTCACCTTTACTATTAAAAGGAGATTTAGTCATTTTTCCCAACAGGCAAGATTTGCATACATCATATTGTTCGAAAACAAATGAATCTAAGAATCTATCTTTATGGAGTTTTGATATGTCTCTAACTTATATGGCCTAAACGACAATGCCAAAGATAAGTTTGATTCGAGTCATTTGTTTTTGATCTCTTAGTATTTATGTTATAAATGGTGTTATCTTGATCCAAAATATAGAGACCATTAACCAATTGTGTCAAACCATAAAAAACACTATCGAGATAAAAAGAACAACAATTATTCTTAATAATAATCTCAAAGCCAATCTTGTCCAAACAAGAAATAGAAATAATGTTCTTAGTCAAACTAGGCACATAATAGCAATCCTCTAAATTTAAATCAAGTCCACTAGGCAAAGATAAAACATATGTCCCTATAGATAATGCAGCAACTCTTGCTCCATTTCCCACTCGTAGGTCAACGTCTCCTTTAGCCAGATTCCTTCTCTTTTGTAGTCCCTGTATATAAGTACAAATATAAGAACCACAACCGGTATCTAATACCAAGAAGTAGATGTTGACAAATTAACATCAATAACATAAATACCTGAAACAAACGTTCCGTTTGCTTTTGCCTTCTTGACTTCTTCAAGGTAAACAGGGCAGTTTCTTTTCCAGTGTCCGGTCTTATTGCAATGGAAACATTTTCCTTCTTTGCTAACTCCCCCTTTGGGTTTCAATGCATTTTTCTATTTTGGTTTGGTCTTACCATTTCCCTTAGACTTTGCCACTACCTTTTTCTTTCCCTTTCCTTTGTCCTTGTGGACTATCAGAATGGGCTTAGGTCCAACCTTTTTCATGTTACTTTCAGCAGTTCATAACATGTCAAGTAACTGTGGCAAAGTTTTGTTAATTTCATTCATGTTGAAATTAAGGAAATATTGGCTAAAGCTATCTGGCAACGATTACAGGATAACATCGGTAGCCAATTCATCTTTGAGAGGAAATCCTAACTTTTCCAACTTTTGGATGTAGCCCATCATCTTGATGACATGAGATCCTACAGGAGTTCCCTCTGCCATTTTGCATTGAAATAGAGCTTTAGAGGTCTCATATCTCTCTTGACGTGCTTGCCCTTCATATATTTCTTTGAGATTTTGAATCATCTCATATGCAACCATGTCCTCATGTTGCTTCTAAAGCTCAGGAGTCATGGTGGCAAGCATTAGACATCCAACATCTAACATATCATCCATATGTTTCTTGAATTTGTCTTTGTCAGCTTTTGAAGCATTAGTTGTCGGTTCATCAGGAACAGGTTCCTCAATGACATATTCCTTCCTTTCCTGTTTGAGAACAATTTTCAAATTACGAAATCAGTCAAGGAAGTTTATGCCATTAAGTTTATCATTCTCAAGGAGTGATCGCAGTGATAAAGTGTTGTTTGCCATTAAATCTACAACAATGGAAATATTAAAGTAAGTAAATTTACCGAATTAAAATTTATAAATAGGACTTTATTTACAAATTACTCCCACTATTTTATTCAAAATTAAAAACCCTCTTTGTTTTAATTTCAGAAAAATTCAACGAAAATTTTTCTAGTGGGTGAGGATCCATAATACATCAATTTCCTAAATCAGCTTTGGCTTTTCTTTTAGGATAGTGATTATTTAGGTAAGTAACACTTGACTAGTTACATCTCATGTAACTCCTCATTTTTGGTGAACAAATTTTGTTCAAGTCATCTCATGACTTATCCAAATATTTAACCTCTAGGTTTCTAATCCTATTAGAATAACCTAGCTAAATTATTACCAATATTTCAACCGGTGAATATCACTTGCTTATTCTCTGCGTTTAACCAAGATAGATTTATGTGCCAATGCTTTAGCAAAGCCCACACAATATCGATCAAAGCCTTAACGAGGGTAAATATTGGACGGTTAAGTTAACTTAGATTATAAAGAGGGATTTGCGTAATTATCTCATCATTGTTCGTTTTAATATTAGGCCCTTATTGATCTCATCAATATTTATTCTTATTATATCATTTGATGCATTGCATACATAACAAATATAACAATAAATAAGATGCAATGGTTATAGCCCAAAACAATGACTAAGGTGGCCCATCCCAAGCCAATGGGAGAACCAAGAACCTTAAAGCCTAAGACTACTCTCTAGGCATCTTCTCGCCATTCTTCTGCTCCTTGTGAATCTTCATAGATTTACAATTTTAAAAGAAATTCGTTTTACATACGAGGGAGTAAGATGAGAAGAGAAATACAACAGAGATATAGAAAGGCACGGCTCGCAGACCGTATTTCAAAATAAACCATTGTGAATTGAACAAGGGCTATAACAATGCATATCAAACACCGTGCAAAACAAACATATCACATATATATACACGTTGTTACGCCTTTGTTAAAATATTAATATGGGCCTTCAATTTGTACTGCTGTTTCCATGGAAAAACTTCATGATTTGATAACAATTATCAACAGAATCGTTCTTTTGGGATTTTCAATCCCGAAGGTTTTCTGCATCGGAACAACCATTGTTCCACTGCTAAACGCGATCTGCTATCGCACTCCCATAGATCATCCAGTAATAAATCGATTGATAAAAATATTAACAAATTAATCATTATGGGTATCGATTCGAACAATGATATCAACATATTTACCGAAATCGATAAAACTAGAACATGCATCTCATACATATCGCATCAACCAAAAATTTAACCCAAAATCAGATCATACAAGTGGCTCTGATGCCACTGTTAGGACCATCGGCGCACCATATGGCGCAGCGGAAACAAAACTCGACGGTCTCACCAGCGATCCAAGTACGAAAAACTGAAAACGGGAGGAATAGATGAGAATACTTACAGCGTGTTCCTTGAAAAACAGCAAGGAAAACAGTGAATTCTGGTGGTGTAGATCGGTTCGAATCGTAAGCCTCCACGAAATCACGTCTCACCCTCTATTCAGTTCACCCGATTGAGAGCAATTTTGTTTTCCCCCAAAATAGTTTTGAGAGAAAGTGACTGAAGGTTTTGTGTGTGTTCTCCCCAAAACGGCTGCTAGACCTAACACACCCTTTTATAGCCAAGTTACCCTAGTCATATTAGGGTTTTTATTATTTCAAATTAATTAAATCTATATTTAATTAATTAGAATTTAATAATCCTTTTATATCCAAGTTACCCTAATCATATTAGGGATTTTATTATTTCAAATTAATTAAATTTATATTTAATTAATTGAAATTAAATATTTGGGATTATTAAAATATATATACTAACTCTAGATATATTTTAGTAACGTACAACAAATTGTACATTTTTGCTCGTTTCAATCTTAGGGTGTGACCCTGTAGGTTCTTGTAACATTAGAAGTAATTATTAGAACAATTCTAATATTACATAAAATGAGTGACATCTAGCAATATATCATTGTTACCTAAGTTACAAGAAAATATGATTCGATATATCATCTTGGTGATTAACTCTTTTATGTATTATATCCTTATGTCCTTTATATCTAGAATAGGCACAAGTCTTGGAATAGGCACAAGTCTTGGAATAGTCACACTTATATAGCCCATCTATTGTTTATTGATTTCTAGAGTAGACTTTAATTAACGAATAGTTTATGATATCTCATATCAACTTATTCGAGCATGGCCATGCGTTTCTAGTCTTACTCAATCAAGTGACCTATGATATATTTCTTATTATGTAGGAAGTATATATCCTATCTTAATCATACACACCCACTACATATATTGAGATATATTCAATAATAGTCTTTATAGAGCAACCAGTTACGGAGCTTGTTTAACTGCATCAAAACATACAACAATATATGTTGGGATAGTATTGATCTCAAGTCTGAGGATCATACATATAGTCATCACCATTCAAGAACATTGTTATGTGAAAGATGCAATTTTCAACCTGCTTTTGTTAGATGTGAAGAGGAAAGAGTTTCACTCTTTCAAAACTGCGATTGGGTAGGACATGGAACCTCTACATCGAACTCAACACATACGAGACAAGAAATTAATTGTTACTCTGGTTGCCCATCATCCGCCGAACTTTCTTCTATTTGGCCATTTTTACAGCAATCTCCTTCAGCTGGTCAATCTACCTTTGAACAAGAATTAGGTCTATTGAGCATCGATGAGAATGTGGAGAGTACTTCCTGGGACTCTACAGAGAACAACATTAGCCAGGATAATACTGGCGTGGCTGGAGTTAATGAAACTTGCAGTACGGATAGGGGAAGTGGCTTGTGTGGGACTTCATCAATCCCTGAACACAAATCTGCACGACTTCTGGATCAGACATCTGGATCAAAAGATGCATCATCGTCCAAGGTAAATGGTGAATTTGGAATATATATCATTAAAAAATCTTGACAAACTGTTCTTGAGGTACATTCAGGCATATGTTACCTTCCTATTTATATTTGCAAATGTACTCGGCCGTATTCTCATAACGTCTGATGCTACAAAACACATTAACAGTAAGAGTTCAGGGATAAACACTAATTTTTTACTTTATTAATCTGCAGTCAGGTTGCCCTCCCACAAAGTATCCTAGACTTTCTGAGGATGATCTCTAGGATGACTTCCATATGGGCGAGGTTGATCTGAATCTTGAAAAGTATGAAGAACTCTTTGGGATGAATCTCAATCATTCAGAACAACTTCTCGAGAATGGTGGAATTGCTAGCTTATTTGGGATAAAGGACATGCCTGCTGCTGATTAAGACTGTCAGACCACGGCAGCTGGTGCTGAGGTTCTCTCATCTCTTTTGGTCTTGCTGTGCAGTATCTGTATTATATTTTTCTGATGATAGTATTGTCATTCTTCTAAATGCTATTCTTTTTCTTATATTTTTAAATAGTATTCCTATTTATGCATTATCAGTTTTCAGTTGGTTGCCAATAGTGTTAATAACCTTTATTTACATTCTTGACTAATGTACCAAAATAAAGTTTACTGTCCTGTCCTTCCATGTGTTGGGCCTTTGTTTTATGTAGTGAGCAGCAAATGTTCTATGGTTGATCCTAAATATTCTTGTCCAGGGCTCATCTGTTGGATTGGTCAATGCAATTCAGCCAGCATGCAGCAACGCGGCATCTAGTGATTCCATGATGAGTAATAAAACCGATTCAATTCTGTATTTTACCGCAAGGCATGCCCATCCAACATTTTCTGGCCAAACTGGAGAGAGCACTGCAGGAGATTACCAAGATTGTGGGGCTTCCGCTATGCTTCCCATGGGAGATCCTCCTTGGTGTACTCCATGTGCTGAGAGCTCCAACCCATCAGCAACTAGAAGTGATGCTGCTTGCTCTACAAGGAAAAGAAGAAGACGCGAATGTAAGTATATGAAAATAATCACTACAGTTACATAATCCCATCATTCAAAGGAATGTATGTTTAACTTCATACTTACTGCATGATAGGTTTGAGAAGTGAGTGAGATATGAGTCTCGCAAATCAAGGGCTGACGTGAGAAAGCGTGTGAAGGGACGATTTGTCAAAGCTGGCAATGCCTATGATTTTGATCCATTGAGCCCAACAAGAAGCTTTTGAGAGTACAATCTTTTTTAACCATGCTTACCCAAAAAAAATGTTAGTTGGAAAGAAGTGGTTATATTCTTACCCCAAAATGTTGAAATTGATGCTCATACTTTCATTTTGAAATATTGACAGGCTGTATGGTTGTGCATAAGGCTCCAGGTTTGTTTCATCAGAAGTTGGATGCTAAAATGCCATGAAGGGTTGCAGTAAAATATTGATGGATGCCGGGCATAAATCGGCCGGATCATGTTGTCTCCTGCAGGTTCCACCAGCCAAGCAATTTCAGCTGCCAAGTTCATATTATAGTATGGAAAAGAGAATGCTCAGTGTTTATTATGTTGACAATTATATACCTTCACCTGCTGCTGCTGCTGCTGCAGTCATGATATGTACTTAGAAACCACACTTTTGCAGTCATGATATACCTTTTATTTGTCTATTGGCTGGCAGTTAACAGTTGTTAGGTGAGACCAGAGACACGCGGTTGTAATATTCTCTCTTGCGGTGGACTGGACGTGTACAGCACAGGATTAATCACACTTGCACTTGTGATGAGGTTGTGTACCTTAAGACGATTCAATCAAGAAATTTACACGTTTTATCTCTTGTGAATGGTGCAGGTAAGATATGTTCAGGGATGGATCGAGATTGAGACTAATTGTCTTATCGTATATATATTTTCTATTAATAATATATTTTCATTTCTTTGTAATTTTATAAGTTGGTTGATCCTAACATAAAACTCCAGAAGCATATGTTGAATGCAAAAGTGGTAATCCCATTGTGATTGAGGGCTCCATCAAAGGTTTTCAATATGGGGAGTTATGGCATCTCTCTTAAACAGGACAAAGTTGGGACGTTGATTGCTTTGAAAGATGGAAAGTGAAGCTGCTAACTGTGAAAGATATTTTTTATACATCAAAATAATTTTAACTCTCAAATCCAACTAAATCTTTATAAATAATAGAGTTACATCATCCAACTCACTAGGTAAAAATCCTCAGATAATGCATAAAAAAATATGCCTAAGTTGAAGGGGAACTTAAATAGAATTTGAGACATATTTTACATTGGTCGAACTTAATAAATATAATGTTTGACGTGTGTTGATGACGTGTCACACTAAGATAATGTCATATTATCATTAAAAAAATTAAAAATCACCCCATTATCCATCTGTTTATTTCTTAACGATGTGTGATTAAAAAAATTAAAATATAACATTGAGTATTATTTGTAAAAAAAATAATTGAGTGATTAACACAAAATTAAAGTGATGGACCAAATACGTAATTTTTATAAATGTGAACTAATAATGAATGAAATAACGGGTGACAGTGGCTTGAGTTCAAAGACAGACAATGTCGCCCTCTAAAGCAAACAACGAAAAAAAATTAATTAAAAGAAAAATCCTAATTCAATGAATGATTATAAATGAAGTAATAAAAGACTTGTAAGTAAATTCATCTATTCAACATTATAATAAAAAAATATTGATTCTTAGTTATAAAAATATGAAAAGATTCAAATACTTTTCTAATATAGTTATCATAAAAAATAATTATTTTAATATATTTTGAATTAAATTAATATCAAATTAATTTATAACATTAAAATAATTAAAAAATTATTATATAAATTATTAATATTAAAATGAATCAGACAAAAAAATCATATGTACAAATGGACAAGCCATTTGTTAAATAGATATTTTTGGGAATTGTTGTACATACATGCCTAGCTCTACAACAGCTCAGAACAGAATCTAATCTACTAATGCAAAAAGGGAGCTTACTAGGCTTCAAGACACCAAAACACTAAACTGAAGTAAAAGACGGACTGATGATATAAGTAAACACCATAAATAAGCCGCAAAACCCGGAATCCTAACCACAGTTCCTTTCGGAGTTAAGCTGGTGGTGTTTGCTATATAAGGCGAAAAAAAAGGATCCCACAGCACCCATTGCCAAAAAGCTTACATTTTTCCCTCCTGTTAAAACCCCAGTTTACTTTTCTCTACGTTTCATCCATACCATTTAAAGAAAAGTTAAAGCTTAGTTCTTGGTACCTTTGCTGATCATTTTTGTGTAAGTTTCTTCTTTAATGAAGCCGGTGATGGATTGTAAATTTAACTTTATGGGTTTCTTCTTTATATTATGGATGAATATGTTGGATCTCATATACAAGATGTCATTTTTAACTCATCAATGTTAATTATTTGTTCTCGGTCATTTCAACCTTAGGTCATTTTTAACCCATCCTGGTTCTTTTGCAGGTTACCTGGGTCGTCACTTGTTGTTTGAAGTTGTTCCCCCTCTCTGCTTTTAGGGTAAATTCCGATATCAATTATAGTGATCTTCCAACTTTTTTGTTTGGTGTTTTTATCTTCATGGGAGTTTTGGAATCAATGATTTTCGTTTTTGTTTTGCATAATTTTATGACTTCTGCATTGATTGCTATCTTTGTATGGTGTTCTAATGTATGTATCTGTGTTTTCCAGGTCATATATATTAACAAAAGAGTGCCATCGTTTCCAAAATTCAAGTTGACACGAAAAATGGGTCTCGCAAGTCTCCCAACTCCATCAGAAGGAGTGCTATGTATACTTTTGGTGAACACAGCTTTATCTATATCTATAGTTAAGGGCATAATCCGATCGATCCTTCACATTGTCGGTATCCATCTCTCGTCACCATCATCATCATCCTCAGATTCTGATGAAAATCTATCGGAACCTTTTGAGTTCCACCTCAATACTCCTGATAGTTACATTGAGGAGTTCCGAAGTAAGACCCCAGCGATACGGTTTGATGCAGTGTATAGCTTCAAGCAGCCACAGCATGACTGTTTGGTTTGCCTGACTCAGTTCGAGCCAAAATCAGAGATCAACCACTTGCCTTGCGGCCATCTCTTTCACAAGGCGTGCTTGGAAAAGTGGTTGAATTATTGGAATGTTACATGCCCTCTTTGCAGGACTCCTCTGCTGCCTGAAGAGGAGGCTTCCTGCTTTTGGTGAGAGAATTTTATCATGCAGAGCTGAGGAAACTTCTGTATACAGCTAGTTTAGTATACGGTATGTAAATTACTGCTATCATGGTAGGTTTCGAGTTAGGCGAGTTTTAGCATTACCCTCGAGTTTACCTTGATGCGGTGATATTGTGTTACTTAATCAATGCCTATATTGTTAGGGTTTCGGATGTTACATGTTCATGGAGATTTTGTTTTCTTTATTACTGCCTTGTTCATGGAGATTGAGAAGGTTATCCAACATCATGTCTGCAACAATAACAGCCATACAGTACTGCACGCCTCTCTGGTTGTACTACAAAATATGAACCTCTGGTTGTCTCTATATCAAAACATCTGTTTCCAACTCTCATGGGCACCACCTGCAGCTTTGGCATTAACTCGTGTTTTTATTTTTCATGACAAAGACATTTGAAACAGATCCATGTCGAGTTAACATCAAGGTGGTGTCCGGACATCAGAATTACGACAGAGACAAAATGTACATTGGATTTAGTTTTCCGCATTGTATACACAAAATTAACATGATACATGAAGTTCGTCCAAAATCTACATTGTATTTAGTTTCGGCATTGTATACACAAAATTAACATGATACATGAAGTTCGTCCATAAGGAAAGAATGATAGCATAGTTACAAAAAGCTAAAAATAAGGATTCACAACTACTAATTACTTTTACAGGATAATAAGTTAACTGACCTTGATTCAAGGTTCAAGGGCATGCCTAATATGAAGTAGCAACTCTCACAAATTTACTGACAAAGCAACTTGCTTCAATAAATAACATGCTATCTAGAACTCCTTAGGGATTTGTTCTGAAACTGTGGCCCTCGTTTGGCAGTGAGTCTGCCTCAGAGAGGATATTGAATCCATGGAGAAGATCACGGATCTTGGAATACGCCAACAACTGTGAAGGATCGCCTCCAATACTGCTCTGTGATGCACGTGAGCTCTCCTGCAGCTTTATCTTTTCAAACAAATACTTCTTCTCAGCCTCTGCCTCGCTCAGGCGAAGTTTGAGGTAACTGCTAGTATACTCTTCCTCTGATTTATCAGACTTGGCAAGTGCAATACTCTGAAGCCTCTCAGCCTCTTGTTTTGCCTCATTGGCCTTGAGCTGGAACATATCGGCCTCTGCGTGTTTAAGCCTAACAATTTTCTCCAGCTCTTCTATCTGCACCTTCTTTTTCTCCCTCTCCAGCTTCAGTTCTGCCACTTCTTTGGCTTTGTCCTCGAGCTCCCGCTCACAAGCATCAAGAGCCACGCGAGCTTTCTTGAACATCCTCAACTTCTCATCAGCCACCATTTCCATCTTCCTTATGGCCTCTTGCACTAGATCTGCAATTCGATTGCATGCCTCTTGGGGTGCTACCAACCCACCACCTTCCCCAATTTCCAGGCTTGTTGAAGATTCCATATCAAGCTCTACTGAGAGAAGTAACAATGATTTTTTTATAAAAAAGAAAAAGAAAACTTAATAAGGGAAAGCAGAATTCCAGCAAGAATCACACATATCAAATTTGCAGAAAAGTTACATGTTGGACCAAAAAATAATTAAAACCAAGTCGACATAAAACCAGAGGGGAAAAACACAACATGCACCGTATAGAAACCGTTGTAAATCATTCATTTCAAATAACTTTCACAATCTAATTCTAGCTGCCATCAGGCTCTGATCAAATTATAGTTAGGACTGGTGTTTTTCTGTTTTGGACCTTAAATCATGCTCGCCATTGGGCATTGGCAACGCAGGATTACCATATGGTTGATGAAGAATCGATTATAGCTTCCCTACTTTTGGAATCAAGTATGAAAAATAATTCTAAATATTCATTAAATGCATTGAAAGGAAAAAATGCATAAATGAGCATAGAACTTTCATCCCCACACAATGTTCACCGATAACTTGGAAGATAAAATAATTAGCACACGTTTTACCTTGGAAAAATATTAATATTGATCTGCAAGCTGTCAACCCTGCCAGTCCACCCCTCATTTTTTCTATAAGATCCTCACACTTTGAAAAGAGTTTCTTCCCTCTGGGGTCATCACTTCCACAAAAAATCCTACAAACAAAATCAAGTTCTCTCATGAGAGCCTCCCTATCCCAGGCTGGAGCACAATGTTGGAAGACATCTTTAACCCAACCCAACAGCTCAGATGTTCCATTGCAAGCTCGGCAGCGGAAAACCATTTCAGTAGGACCTGCTCCACTCTTAGCAGAAGGACCCATACAAATTTGACCATCACGAATAGCGCAATCTGTATGAGACCAATGGGAACAGAAATCGCAACCAATCCAGTGGCAGGTATTTACTTCAAAATCGAACTTGTTGCAGATAACACACATACAAAGATTGCAAAATCCATTCCTATTGGCACATATTTCACAGGCGCAATCATCTGCAGGTAGCTGGTTTTGGCATGCAATATTTCTGCATCTTTTGTACACAAAAACCTCAATGAGAGAGGCTTGGGATAGACTGATGTTTGGATGCAAGAATGCCTGAATTCCCATATTTATTGCAACAAGGGTCTCAAGTTGTGCCCGGTGTGCTCTAATCAATGTCTTTGCTGTTAAATCAGATCTGCTTTGAACAAACTTCTGAAGAATCAAAAACTCCTCCCGGCTTTGTGAACCACCATTGCCTTCCAGAATACTCTTGAGTTGATTCTTTAGCTCATCTAGAAACTCATCAGGTAGGTGATGCATCATTTCAGAGATAACATCAACTCTTTCTCTTGCAATGTCTCGAAGGGTTATCTTATCGGCACTAGAAACACGGAGAATAACAGACTGCTTGGTGCCATCATTTTCAGTTTTCACATTTACCATCTTCTTTTCTGTGACAGCATCAGTAGTAAGAGTCTCTCGAGAGGTAGCACTCTCAGTAGGAGACTCGTGAATGTTATCCGAGTTAAATCTGGGCTCTTGGGCATTAGGCAACAGTTGAGGGTCCGAGGAGACGAAGGACAATGAAGTCTGTAAGCTCCCTGGTTGTTGTTCTTGACGTGGGGGCAGCATCTTCGACATATGCTGGTGGTTAATATTAGACCCAGATGATGTTCCCATCAAAAAAATCTCAGTTACTCTGCAAATAAAAAAGCAACTCTAATGCATCATCATTCATGATCCAACACAACTTACAATAGATTATAACATAAACTTGAGCTTCTTTCTATTAAAGTTCCTCATTGATTTTTGCTATTTTCTTTTTTACCCCATCAAGAGTTGCTTTAAAAATAAAAGCAACAAGTCAAAACAATATCTTATTTGTTCAAAATGAAGACTTGATTAACAATTTCAAAAGTAATTCTATTCCAAAAGGATTGTTTCATATTAAATTTGTAATGAGAAGACCTAAGATTTAACCCAAAATTCCAAATCCATATCTTTTCAAACCTACCCAAAATTAGTTCCTTCAAACAAAAATATTCTGATCTCGTACAATCAATTATACGATACAGATGGTCAAAACCCTAATCTGAGTCAACCCCCAGCTAGAAAATAACAATTCGAAATTCAGTCAACAAAGAAAGACTTAAATTATTGAGAAACCTGAAGTAAAACCAACAACCATCTTATTTCGCGAATCAAACAAGGAAGAAAGTTCAAAACTAGAAACTTGTGAAAGAGAACCCTGTAACTTAGAAGAGTACAAATGAAGAAAAGTTAATACCTTTGACGCAGACCGGTGGAAAGGTCGGACCGGTGGAAAGGTCGGACCGGCAAAGAGCGGAGGAGAGATCAGATTGACCAAAGTCAAGAGTGCCGTTGGAGGAAATGGGGAATTCTTTGATTCAAAGGGTCATATGATTGCTTCCTTATCTTGTAACGCCGCTCACGATGTATCCTGGATGCCTACTTTTGACGAAAGACAAAGTCAAATTTAAAAAAAAAATAAGGTACAGTGCACATATCATCATAAATATTTGATTAAATTCTTTTTTGGTTTAATAACAAGTTTACCTAAATTATACCTCTAAAAACGTTTTAGTGTTTAAATAATTTTTTTGTTAGAAATAAGTATCTAATATTTCAAACGATACTTTAAGTGCTCAAATGTTAACCGTCGTTAAATATCTTCGTTAAGTGAAATATGTCATATTATAGTAATTTTAAGAATTTATTTAAAAAATTAAAAAAAATATTTTTTTGTAAAAAAACCCAAACAGCCTATGCTTAGAGTCTCCCTCCCCTCTTTCCCTTCTCCCTTCCCCTTCCTCTTTCCCCTTTTATAGTCGTAGGTTGGTAAGCCAAGATCATCATTACCACTGTCATCAGTACCGGTGTTGACCCCTGATCAAATCTTGTTGATCTTTCGTCATAATGTCATCGTTTATCGTGGAAGAACGTTCGAAGGTTTATCGATTTTAAAGCCACTATCGCCGTTCTTCGTCAATTATGGATGATTTCGACGTTTATAAGTCACGTCGCCGTCGCCATTCGAACCACGATGATGGTTGGAGATGGTTGACAATCGTTTGGGTTAGAAAATTAAAATTGGAAATTAGGAATTTAGATTTTGAGAATTTTAGATTTAGGGATTTTGGTGCGGTAAAGATGATGATTGATCAATGGGTGGGTGACGACGGATGAGTGATCATTCAACGATGACAATAGTAGTCAGAGATGACCGACGACGATTGGTAATAAGATTGAAATGAGAGATTTTAGTTTTTTAGGAGTTTTTTATAATTTCGGTAAAAAAAAATGGGGTTTTTTATAATTATTTTTTTATTTTTAATTAAAAATAATATTTTTATTATTAAAAAGTTTTAAAAAATAAATGGTAGACACTTAAAAATATAATCGAGAAAACTTAAGATATTTATTTTTAACGAAAAATTCTTTAAATAATTAAATATATTCTGAAATAAAATTCAAACACTTATTTTTATATTAAATCATCTTTTTATATTAAATTATTAAAATTAATAAATCAATCATTGACGTCATCGATTAACATTAAATCAGTCGCTCTATATTAACAATATGGGTTACACAAAACTTATATGGTCCGTTATGTGAATACCTGACAACTTTTTTATATTTGTTTTTCTTCGTCACGCTCTATCTTCTGGCGATTTGACCAAACTGACATTATTTAACCGAATATTTACCTTTTTAGCATCGTTTGATATATATTTCCCAAAGTGGTACCCTTTCGGCTGAGCTGGCGAAAGGCGCATACCCGAGGACGCGCTTTACCCGAGTTTTCGCTGAGTTGGATGCCACGTGTGGAAGGCGCATCCCTGGGGACGCGCCTTCCATTAAATGCCATAAATGCCCCCATCCGTTTTCCCTAACTACCCCTCCTCCTCCCCTATATAAACCCCCTCAACCCTCCCTCATTCTTCACACCAAAATCATATTATCCTCTCTTATATAACTCAAATTCTCCAACTATTTGAGTTTTAAATTTTTTATTAGTGGTAAGAAATTTATTTTTATGTTAGTATTTTTTTAAATAGTTATTATATTTTATATTAATATATTTATATAAATATTATTTTTTTATTAAAATAATATTTATATAATTATTATTTATTTAGAATTATTAATTTTTTTTGTGCTAATTATATTGTTTTGTCTACAGTTATAATGGAAAACGAAATGCTGCTGCGATTGGATGTTGATTATATCTCCAGACATTTTAGCGATATGGTAATATTTTTTATAATTAATGTTAATATTTAAATTTATTTTTAATTTAAAGTTATTATGAATTTATATTAATTTTAATTTTTTTAATGTATATTATTTAGGATACTGATCGTATTTTAGAGACTTTTATTAAAAATCCACGTATACCGACACCGAAATGTATTTTTCCATATTTGGCTTCTGCCGGGTTCGGGTATATTGCAACAATTATTGGCGGTTGCAAACTCGAACCTGTCCTAATTTTTGCACTGATTAAGAGGTGGAGGCCCAAGACACACTTTTCACCTTCCATTTGGAGAGGCCACGATTACATTGGAGGATGTCTCTATGCATCTGGGGCTTCCCGTCGACGGAAATATGATGTGTGGTATGGCGGATGGTGATTGGTAATCAATGTGCATTGATTAACTTGGAGCTGCTCCGCCAGAGTTTAATGGAGGTAGAATAGCTTTATCTTGGTTGAAAGCTAATTTTGAGGTTTTAAATGAAAATGCTTCAGAGGATCAAGAAAAGGCATGTGCTCGGGCATATATTCTACGAATAATTGGAGGAATATTGATGCCCGACAAATCTCGCAACCAGGTGCATTGTATGTGGTTGCGGCATCTGATCGATTTTGATGAAGCTGGAAGATATAGTTGGGACGCTGCAGTTTTGGCATTTCTCTTTAGAGAAATGTGTCGGGCGACGAATTATAAGAAAACTGCTATCGGTGGATGTCTCCTGCTTCTACAATCATGGGCGTGGTTCCGCATGCCTTTCTTATGCCCGATCGTGAATGAACCATACGTATTCCCCTTATTGTTGAGGTAATTTTCGAACTAAATTTTGATTTAAATATTTTTAATTAAATAGGGTGATATTTAGTTTATAATATATTTTATAGGTGGTCGATGAAAAGAAAGAACCATAAAAGTATACCTACTGGGTTAGAGGAAATTCGTTTACTTATTGATACGAAAGCTGGGTATGAGGTGTGTTTTTAAATCTGTTTAAATATTAATATTTTAATTTAAAATGCTAGATATAATTAGAATATTTTATTTATTTGAATTGTATATTTATATTTCAGTTTCAGTGGATACCTTATGCGAGCGATGAAGTGAAGGCTTGCATCCCACACCACCTTAGTGGGTCATTAGAAGTAATGATGTCGGTTATACCTCTTATATGTTATGCTATTATTGAGTGGCATCCAGTTGATCGCGTGCTCCGTCAGTATGGTTGTACGCAATATATTCCTGGAGCACCTAGGAATTTAGACGACGTGCAGAACATAGATAGACAAGGAAAGAAAGAGGTTAACTGGGTGGTGAGACACAGAGATTGGATTGCGCTTTGGGAGAACCGATATGCACTGTTGGCCTCTCGACAATATTACGCTGAAACTGGTCATATGGTTACGGATAACTATATGACTGGTTTAATGAAAATGGGAAGCCGTTTCTACTTTCGGCGGAAGCACGAGGGGTTAGCATTCCTAGGCGCCGAGAAAGACGTCAACCATCTCAATATCATCGTCCCCCGACGCATGGATAGAGAGAAGGCGCTACCGGTTCTACATCAGTCCCACCACAACATCCTTATCCGCCGATGCCGCAGGGGTACATGCCCAGCCCTCCACTTCATATGCCAAGCCCACCAGTTCATATGCCATCTCCGCAGGGTTACATTCCGAGCCCTCAGGGTTACATTCCTAGCCCGCCAGGTTACATTCCGAGCCCGCAGGGTTTTATACCATATGGAGGTGCATATACGACTATGTTTAATGATCCAGCATATGGTTCATATGCATCTTATTTGGCTGGTGGTGTTTCTCCGCAGACACCTCAATCTCCATCTGGATCACAGACATCGATGCCAATGTTTCCACAGTTTTCACAGTTCCCGGGGAGCGGTGGGATTGTTACTAGCACTCCTCCAGGGTCGTTATTTTATACAGGCCCTTCAGCCCCTTCAGCGTCATCTACACCAAATGAAGAAAATGCTGTTGATGATGATAGTGAAGATGAGGAGACTGAAGAACAAGTTCCACGAAGAAATCCTCCACGAAATAGACAACCACCGCCATGTGGAACTCATTCGAGAAGACGGCATCGGTGATCCAGTTGTATTTTAATGTTATTTAAATAGTTATATTTCAGAATTTTATGTAATTTGGTTATGTTATTTAAATATTTCATGGTTGTTACATACATATTTTTAATGTTATTTTTTATTTACATTTAACATTAAATGTTTGATAAATGTTTTTAAAATACAAATTATAATATTCGAAATTTAAAATAAAAATAAAAATAATATTATTTGAAAGTTAAAATTAAAATATAAATTATAGTATTCGAAATTTAACATTAAATTTCAACTTAATATTCCAATTGTATTCGAAATTAAAAGTTATATTCCAATTATAGTTCACAATACTTAAATTGAAATTAAATTTATCCATACATATGATTTTATCATTAACATATATATTAAAACATATACATTAAAATCAACTTATCACTTCACATTTATTCGTAAAAACATCTCGATGCTCATTCCATACAATTTCAATGTCACAATCAACTTATCACTTCACATTTATTCAATTTATCCATAACAGGGTGAGTGACATAATAGGGCAATGATAACATA